CATGTTTTATTTGAATAATTTAAGCTTTTTACAAGGGAATAAACCTATATTAAAAAAAAAATCTATTTGGCTATTTGGAAACATGTTAATATTAAAGATGGTACCTTTCCCTTCAGATGGGTTTTGAGATTTGTATGGTGGCTCTGGGAGCCCCTCTGCAGTGAATTCTCTTTAGAGGATTTAAAATAAAATCCATAGCTTCTGTATTGTGGGCAGAAAATATCCATTTTCCTTGGTGTGCACGTGTGCACAGGGAGGAAAAAAAGTTGTCTTAAGAGAAGCATATTGCTTGGTAATAAATATCGTGATTTAAGAACCTTACAAAGTTAAGGATCAGTGTGGTGCAGTAAAATGAAGATCAAATTAATCTTTGAAAATTATTTTCTTTCAACCTAAAGGATTTTACTGATACTGGTTTAGATTTCAGCCAAGGTATTTCCATTCATCTAGTAGATTATTTGGCTGCTCAATTTACCTTTTTGAGTTGCAAAAATAAGGGAGGAAGTAAACCAGCAACTTTTAAAGGGATCTTTAAAAGTTCTTGTATTATTACATGTTTACAAGGTAAACATGTTATTTTTAACAAGCCCCTCAAAGGTCTCTACATTCAGGCATGATACATTCTATAACACCTCCCAAGAAAGAGTTGATACAACTCAAAGACCATTTTGGTCAGGAAAAACCCTCCCATTAACTCCAAAGTTTACTGATAGACCCATTATGTATATAACATTAGTCAGATTTCATGCTAATGCTTAGTAGTAGAGTAGCTGAACTGATATATCAAGATACCAGTAAGTTATCCTAATGTGTGTAATGTATTTTTTAACTGTATAATAAAATCCAATACTGTTTTTGCAGGTTTGCTTGTTTGCCACGCAGGCTAGTGATTTGATTTCTTCACTTTGAACTAATAATACTAGGATAAAAAAAAAAAAAAAAAGTGAAAAAAATGTCTGAGAAAATAGTTGTGTTCTGGGAAGTAACCTTGTGTCATTCAGGCGTTCCTGCACTGTAATCTGTATTGCGTTTTTGACCTTTTAGCTTTAGCTTTTCTGATCTGTGTCATGATGGTATATTGTCCCTTAGCACCTCCAAGAATTTTATTTGTCAAATAAGGACTATGTGTTAAGCTGAGACAAAAAGATGAAAGGAGAGGGTAGGCACTGTGTTGGGGAGTGGTAATTGTTTTGAGTGTTCCTCCTGAAAACATAATATTCAGTAGTTATGTTGTGCTGTTTTTCAAAGTGACACCAAACCAATAATCTGCAGACTTCAAAACATCTCCTTTTTTTTTTCATTCCTGCACTGTAATCTGTATTGCGTTTTTGACCTTTTAGCTTTAGCTTTTCTGATCTGTGTCATGATGGTATATTGTCCCTTAGCACCTCCAAGAATTTTATTTGTCAAATAAGGACTATGTGTTAAGCTGAGACAAAAAGATGAAAGGAGAGGGTAGGCACTGTGTTGGGGAGTGGTAATTGTTTTGAGTGTTCCTCCTGAAAACATAATATTCAGTAGTTATGTTGTGCTGTTTTTCAAAGTGACACCAAACCAATAATCTGCAGACTTCAAAACATCTCCTTTTTTTTTTTTTAACCCTTTTCCCCATGCCCAAGAAAAGTAGTGAAATTACTTTATATAAGAATGTATACATCACATAAAATCACTGCAATGTGTACACTTCAAGAAGTTACCTAAAAATTCTGGACAACAATGGATGCTGTTGGCGCTCTTGAGCCTGCCAAACTGGGTGGGTGTTCAGGGGAAATAGACATTTAAGTTGTTTGACAGCTCCCCTTTATTTTGGCCTGTAAATATGGTAACTTGATAAATACTAGAATGCAGAGTTATCTGAAAAGGAACAATAAACCTATTCTATGTTTGAGGACATGACTTGTAGATCTAGAACAGTATTACACATTGTTTCTTTTGGGCCTGAATTGATCTGTAATATATATGCAGTATTATATAACATAGAAGAATAGCACTTAAAAGTTCCACCTCCCAAGAAATGGAATGAGCATGAAGGATTACTCATTGTACTAAGAATCAGTGCATTTGTGACAGGAAAGGACTCTGAATAGGGTAGCATTTTTAGTATGATACTTCTTGCTAAGCTTGTGTCTTCCCAGCTGATACTAGAATTGTGTGATAATGTGGTGGGGTAAGGTATCTATTGGGATTAACAAAATCTGATATAGTGACTGCAGGTAAGTATTTTACCAGCTGAATGTATTGGTGTCAATTCTGTTCATCTCGTATGTCTTGCATTAGGGAACGTTTATAAGAGCCTAGTTGGACTGTGTAACATTTCCCATTCTTAAAAAGCATGACTGCCATATGGTACGTGTTGCACCTATCACTAGGGGGAAAAGTAACTTCAGGAAAGGTCCCTATTGTTATAGAGAAGCTAATACTAGCCTTCACTAACTAGTTTCAGGGGAAGCAGAATATACCTGGGTGAGTTTTTACCAACTTACTCGTCACTCAGCTACTACATAGTTCTCCTAAAAAGTCATTTTGGATGCTGCCAAAAATGTAAGATGAATACAAGAGAAGGATTCTTTACTGCTTTCACAGACATTTATGATAACATACACAATTTTCAAGATCACTTAGTGTGGAAGACTAGAAATCTGTAAGGATTTCTAATATATAATAGAGGTCTGCATCACTGTTGGAAATGGTACTTCTACACATAATTCCTATTGGATTTTTTTCCTCAAGGACCTCTACCTAGTTGACTCTCGAAGTTTTGGAAATAGTATTCTGTCATCCCAGCTATTCTTTGCTGGTTTTGAACTGAAGGCCAATTCGCATTTGGGGATTGGGCTTGATGGCTTGGGGGTTTTTACCCCTTTCTTTTGCCTCACTACACAAATAGTTCTGCTTGGTTGCTTTAGTCTATGCAATTTACTGAAGCTTTGTCATGGAAACTGAAGTGAGATTAGAGCAAGGTAAAACTGAGAAAGATTTGTGCTTTCAGGTCAAAGGTAGCAAATGACTTCTGACTGCACGTGGAAGCAGTATGCCAAGAACAGCCAAATCACCAGGCAAGAATGCCAGAAGCAGTTTCCTATTTATGTAAGCAGTGATCTGACAATAGATTCCCAGTTTACTGGATTTTAGGGGTTGATATAAAAAATACTTTGCAACTGATTATTGTAACATCCATGTTCAGCAGATCTGAGTTTTTTTAACAGTTTGTTCAAGTCTTCTGCTAATATATCCTACCAAAACAATCAATTTGTTTCATGCTTTTTTAGGTGTTCAGGGGGGTTTTGGAGAACATTGCCATGCAAAAAATAAGATTACATCAAATATTCTAATAGCAGTAGGGGCCCATAGGAATAAGATCAAAGATTACTTTTTGATGCAATGAGACTAGAAGTTAGACAGGGGTTTATGGTTTATGTCAAGAATAAGAAAAGCATGACGGGAACTAAACATGAAAAGCTGATCTTTGTGTTCTGAGTGCAATTTTAAATGAAACATACTGAGATGTATCAGTGAGCCATATTGCAAAAGGATAGATGGACGGCAGGACCATTAAACTTTTATCCTGTGTATAAAGTTAAAAGAATTACTGCTTCTCACTTTGTTTCTCTCTGTGAGTCCTACAAAATGCGCTTATATTGACACATTCAGAATGTCAAACATATTTTTAAATAATAACGATTTGGGTTAATGTATCTGAGAACTGCAGAGAAAAAGTTCACACGTGATTTTTTTAAGTGGTATATCTGCAGATAGCTTCATTTTTGAAATGTTACGTTCTGCTCCAATTTCCCCCTTTTTTTATTCTGTGATAGCTAGTTGTTGTTACTTCATTTATTTTCTACCACTTGTTTTCTGTTTAACCTTGTTTTCCTTCCTGTCTTAGGTGCTTTTCTCTTAATTATTCATATTCTTTAAGAAGATTATCCTGAGTGATTGAATTTCATACATCTACTTTTAAGGCAGTGGTTTATCATACAGTATAAGCCAGTGTTGCCATCCAGAGACCTCTTTCTCTTCCCTTTCCTTGGCTGCTACATTTTATGAGTTGTGCTGGCATAAATGCTTGTACAGCAAGGCAATGAATTAAATTGGGCAACAGATTGAGGTTACAGCTAAGGTGGCAGTTTCACAGATGGCTGACCCACCTAGATTGAGTTGGGTCTTTGCTACAAGGAGGAGAGGGCGTATATGTGCTCCTCTTCATTGTGACCATGCAGTTGCATACCGCATACTTGGTCTCACCTGGTGGAGAACGTTGGAGCCTTCCCAGAGTCAACAGTTACAGATTTTTTGGCTGGACTGTTGCATTAAATTGATGCCTAGAGAGCTGAGAGTGCTGTGACCTAACACAAAGCAAAAATTATGAACAGCATAATAGAGCAGAGTAGAGCTTACATATTCCAGAGTTTACAAGCTGTTAACGCTGCTTACTGAATCTCCTGGAGCCTCATGCTTTTGGTGAGGTGCCAAACATTGTCTAAACTGGCACACTGGTTTGCTACCAGGAAGAGTAGTACCACCTCCTACTTGGATTGGCTTTAGCATTCATCATCAGGAGCTAATTTAACTCATTAAATCTGCCCACCAGAATCTTGAAGAAATGTAATGAATCTATTTCTTGTTGAATCTTCTTATTTTTATAATGAAGTCATATGGTACTTCGTCTTCAGTAGCAATGCTGGTTCATGTCAGTTTACTGAAATGATCAGCTTCACCATCACCAAGAGTAGTAGGTGACAGTTTAAGGGCACTCTGACAACATGTAGAGACCAAAATGTTGCATGCAAGCTTTGTATCTTGAGTAAGGTTTTAGTTTAGTTTCATATATATGAGCTTCATGACGCACTTTAGCTACAAATGCAGATATGCAAGTCTTGGGAGTAAATATTGGTTTGTTTTGCTTTAATAAGGTTTTTTCTGTTATGTTCAGTATGACATTGATGATATCTAAATAGTCGCAGTAGAGTCAAAAGGGTGGAAATGAGTTCTTAACTAACCTTTACGTCCGTGATTGATGATGCTGGCGATATGTATTCATAGATACTCAACCCTGGATTATACATGAACTAACACATGGAACAAAAACATCAGTTAAACTGGTACAGAATTTATGTACTCCTGTGTATGAGAATGACCATGATGGTAAAGCAGTTGCACTGTTTAGAGAATTCAGGTGTCAATGAAGTATTTTATTTGACAGGATTTTTTGCCTTAAGTATTAAAAAATAAGCTGATGTTTAAAAAAATGTTTCATGTCACTGCAGCATTGGAAAAGTGCTTTTTCTGATTTCACACATGACAGCTCAGGTTCTGTCAAGTCAGGATTGTGACAGTCCCGCTCTGTTACATAAAAGGACATGAATGATATAAACTGACCGTACGCTGCAGGTGGAAAATAAAATCTAAAGTTTCCTCCAACCTGGAATAGAATGAATGCAAATTCTCATGAAGCATTTTGATACTCTTCATGATGCAGAGAAGCCTCTTAAATAGAAATAGCTCTGCTGATGCCCTCGGAACTGTTTTTCTGCTCTATACAACAAGTACTACTCAGTGCAAATAATTCTGCTTCAGTGGTGCTAACTTATTAAGTCTTTAAGGCAGTTTTTTCAATAAACATATTTTGGTTAGGAATAGATTTAAAAACAAAACAAACTCCTATGGTTCTATTGATTTGAGGGACACCTCATTCATCATGTAGAGAGCATGATAATATAATCCAAAGTGATCAAGAAATCCTGGGGTAGTAGGTTACTGCCTGGTAGTTGAGGCACAGTTGAGACACATACATACTCATAATAGAGTCCACTTACTAATTCAGACGGGCTAAATTAAACCGTTGTGTTTTGTTACCACGGTTTGGGGTAACTCAGAATGGTAACTTGGCCACCTGGAACTCTGTAAAGCAATCTGTTCTGCGAAGACACCAGATACTCTTGTACGAGAATAAGATACGCTGCTATAACAGTTTTTTACACCAATCTTACTGCACCTGTTTCAAAAAATAGAGGGGGACCAAGAAGGTTTTCTGGTTGATCTGTACTCCTGTAGTTAGAGCAGCAAAAGTTTTCAGTGTATGGCTGTAAATCTACAAAGTACTTCTTCATCCAGCTTTCCTCTGAGATGTAGCCACTTTAATGTAACATTTATAAAATCTGTTAGAGAAAGGCGTCTGAAATGCTAGGGCATTTTGGGGTTATTCTACTTAAATCTAGGTTATTATTTTTCACCTCTGAGGAGGAAATCTTGTCATCTGTTCTTGTAATTCACCTCTCTTACAAACTTATTTCATAAGCTTATTCCATTATCGCCTTTTGAGTTAGACTAGCTGACCAGAAGTTTTTGTTTAACAATTTTTAGACTATATTCCCCAGGTATTCTTTCTTTTTGTCTCAGAACTTTGAAACACTGTAGTAAACTGCTACTTCTATAAATTACACATTTTTTATATTAGACAATAATATATCCTTCCAAGTCGAACAGCTTTTTCAGATGGTATACTTGAGGATGATGCTGAATATAGCATGTCTACCAGCAAGTCACTTAGAAAAATTTGCTCTCATAATTATCTTTTCCCTTCTTACTATTATTTGACCTTTTAGCTCTTCTTAGTTTAGAATTAAAAAAAAAAAAAACAAAAAAAAACCCCCAAACCAGAGAATCTTTATTTAGCACTTAGATAATTCTCCTAGCCTGCTTTTATTTTCTTATGCTACAATTTCATTTTCATCCCAAGGTGTTTTTTCCACTAACAGATGCAGCCATATAAACAACCTAGTTGCTCATTTTGCTCCTTGTCCTTTAACATCTTGGTTCTTTTTTGTTTCTGCTATGTCCCATTAGCCATTCAGAGTCTACAACATGTCAAATACCACACTTCCTAGTTTTTGTTCAATAAAGATTTTTGAAATATTAATGTAACACAAACCTTTTAAATCTTATCATGTTGTTCTGTCTTTGTGTTCTCAATTCTAAATCTATTGAGACACAATTTTTTTTAAACAGAATCACTCCTGTGGATATTGCACATACCATAGAAAAACACAGTATTAAGGTCTAATGTAGGTTATATGTTTTCATTACACTTATTTATGAACTGAGGTTGTCCTAAAGCTGGTGTATAGTACTAAAACAATTCCTTGTCATCCTGAGAAGTTCTCATTTGGTGCAACTGGTTTTCTTATCAGTGCTGGGTCCTTTCATGTATGTTACCTGACTCGATATATCCTAACAAGAGCATTGTACAATTTTCCTGTGCTTCTGGATGACATTGTCAGGAGTTTGCCTTAGGAGGGAGGGTATGAATCTGTAATTCCAAGGTACCTGCTTTTTCTTGCCTCTTTGAACGTCTGATTGATCCCTCTGATTCTCCTTTATGTGGAATTCTTTCTTGGAGGTATGATGCCAGTCTGCTTTCAAGGTTAATTCTGGACTTAGAGAGAGAGACGGACAGACCACTCTGGGGCATGAAGCAGCTATGGTGATGTCGTAATTAGTCTCGGAAGGAAGGCAGAATTCCAACTGCAAGGAAAAGTGTTGCCAGTCTACACTGTGCATAAAGCTCTGAAGTTAGGTGGAAGTCTTTGGCCATATTGCAAATGTGGCACTTGTATTAGTTTTTAGAGTAAGCAGGAACATGTGTATGTGCCTATGTGGGGCAGTCATGGCAGCTCTCTTTTTCCTACCTTTTCCCTTTCCTCGAGTGTTTGCCCACTTGGGACTTTTGGCCACATTTTGGCCACTTGAGACTGTTGTTGTACATTGCATCAAAATAATTCAATGCCTTTTTGCAAAGACATTGTCTCAGTGCAAGCCAAGAAAGTCTGTTTGCAGTGTGTAAAAAATTGACTTGGTAGTAGTGGGTACGGCAAATTGCAGATCACAAAAACATGTTGCTTCAGAAAATGTCTTCTTTCCATGTTTAAAAACCATAACTTGACAGTTGTGATTTAATATGCAGCATAACAGGTGCTACATTTTGGGCCATTATCAATCTCCACCGTCACAAGTGGGTGGATTTGGAGGTTCAGACATGGTTCACTGCTGCAGCGTGTTAATTGTGTTGTCTTTTGCTTTAGTCCATGTTGCTATTCCTAAATCAAACTGCAGTTTCCAGCTGTTCTTCCACTACACACTTAAGTTTTTTTAATTGTTTCATCTTTGAGAGATCAAACCCACGTATTTATAGATTTGCATTATTACTGTCTTTTTATTGTGGTCGGTTTTAACATTGATACTGTCTCTGCCGGTCTTCAGGAATTTTCTGTCATCCTACCAAGCTATTAAAGATGTCTGTTTAAATGAGAACAGAAAGTTGATTATGCAGCAGAGATACAGAGTGTGCTGTCTGCATGCAATGCATCATTTGTGCTATTTTTTTCCCTGGTTGTCGTTCGTTCTTTGCTGTTGCTTGATGTCTCTCCCTTCTCCCCTCTTTGTTTTCTGCTTTGGAGAATTAACCTGTTACTCTGGTTTCTAGTCTTCACTTGATTTTATCAAATGTATAACACAGAAAAAATGAAAGTTTAATATGGAAGGAGGTTTCTGATGTTTTTCTTCTTAAAGCTGAAAGTAACTTCACTGAGTGAATGATAGTCCTTGTTTGTGGGGTTTTGTCTCTTCAGTTTTTCTGGTTCAGTGTGTCAGATTTTTTCCTTCCATATTTCCTCACAATATGCACCTTATCACTCATTTTTGTTATGCCCAGTTACTAGTGAAAGATACTTCTATGTCTCCATATTTTGTGATAATACCTACTTCATTCTCCATTATTACTTCCTCTGTGATGATGCAAAACCCGATGTGTTTCCAATCTCTGTTTCAGATGTCTTAATTTTCATTCATTCAGAAGAATGTATAAATCAATAGGTAACCAGACATCATATTCAAGCTTAATATTACTTAATATTTTTCATTGTTAATGGGTGTTGGTAGAACCGGTAGCCTCTTTTGGCTCTGTACAACATCTTTGTCACCACTGAAAATAAAAAGGATTTTAATTAATTTATATCCTTTATCCTTTGTCACTGGCTACCTTTCATACAGAAAAACTTTTTAAAGTGCCTTTTTTATTTTTTTTTAAAAATGCTTTTCAATTTACTTATGAAATATGCTGACCTAGACACTCCCAGTAGATTTTTTTCTAAAGACTTTCATTGGATACCTGACTGTGCTTCCACTGAAAGCAGTGAATATAACTAATGATATTTTCATAGTAACACCACAATAGCAATTCTCAGTGGAGTTCACTGAGAATATGCATTAAATTAACTTTTTTTTTTACATTAAAATAACACTATTGTAGAAATATCACAGAGCAAATTTCAGAAGAAACAGGAAAATAAAATAAACAAAATATAAATGTAAATGTTATCTCACAAAACTCCCTAGAACCCAGATGTCACACTTGTTCAGAGAACCTGTACTAACGCACTAATGGCCTTACCATCCCAAATAAAGAAAAATTATTGTAAGATAATGGAAAAAATATAAATAAGGCAGATATGACCCCAGATTAGTGTGCTTTCATAGAACATTATATTCAATTGTGTTGGCCTGAGAAATTAATTTCCCAGTTTTATAGTGTGTTATAGTGGATTTAGGGTTTTGCTGTTGTTCTTGAAGGGTAGAAGACCACTAAGCTTGTCATACAGTTTTTCTATCAATAGTATATTTTCTGTTCTGACATCTTGACAGTTTGCCAGCAAGTTCCAAAAGTTTGTGCTTTGAGAACAGGCTACGATAAACTTTCGTAAGTGGTGTGTGTCTGGAGAGAGAATTATTCTCTTTTAAGGTTGCTCTCTAAGAGCAACATTTTGACTTGATATATAAGGGGAAGAGCTTGCTAAAGGCAGGCTTCAGTACTAGATGGACTCAAATTCCTTAAGCATCTTGGATCAGGAAAATCTTTTCATGATAATTGCACCTCATCTTCTCTCGTGCATGTATTTAATGTGATCTTCATAAAACATTAGTCACCAAAGTCATAGAGCAGCATTGACATAAGGGTTTGCCTCTGATACTGGAAAAAAAAGCAATGAAATAAAAAAATCTTAGTCCCTTAGTAATTACACTAAAATTGTTCTCGTTCTCAGGGAATGACCAAATCCATGAGTAAATTATTCTCTATAAGAGAAAATAGAAACCTTCAAGGGTAGGCAGAGTATTTTCAGATATAGCACATGTCAAATTTGAGGCTGAGGGTAGATTTGTTCTGCAGTTTATTTTACTAAAACGGGAAATGCTGTGATTGCCTTGGTTTGGGAAATAAAAGGGCCAATAGTTACGTCCCAGAGAGGCCAGTAGTATTTGGGAAAGAGGTCTGACTTGGGCTGACTTCTACTCACTGTATGAGTGAATAAAAAATTACTGTGGCTTTCTGGTTTGTTTTGATGGAATCTTGTTTTGATGGAACCTTGAAGCACTTTCTGACCATTCCACCTTATAATACACTAGGGAAACATAGACTGTTTTCTGAATTTTCCAGATGTGTAAACAGAGGCACAGAGAAGGCAAGTGGATTGAGCAGAGCTTTACAGAATTGCTTGAAAATGTGGGTGTAGTACCTAAACATCCCACATTCATATTGTGCCATTTGCCTAAAGACTTGTTCTGCAGACCAAAAAGCACCAACAAATACTTCAGTAGAGGCGGTTATGTGTACATGGTGAAAGGTAGAGGCCTATTTAACCCTGTGTGCCCACACATGTATATACAGGTATATATAGATACTGATTATATATATAAACGCACACACACGTGTGTGTATGGATCACAACACAGGGTGATTAATTGAAGCCTGGGATGGAGTATATGCTGTTGCAATTTATGCATTAGAATACTAACCTCTTTGGCTGTTAGCATTTTGCTGTTTCTGTGGGTTCTGTGAGATGGTTTCTAGAAATCACGCACTGACTTGGCTCTCATGTTTAAATGAGAATTGGGAACTGGAGAAGGATTGTGAAATGTCCAAGTCAAGTTGTAGATGAATTAAACTTGGTTGTTAAATTTGAAAGGCTTTTCTTTTGCTGTGTCTTACAAATAATTAAATGAGAATGGGATGCCACTGATCAGCAATGAATCTGAAATGCATGTTGGGTCTTCTTTCATATAACATATGTGATTTTATAATAGAGGTTAAGCTTGGCCTCTTTTCACATACATCTTATAATTTTTAGTCTTAAACCAATTTGTACTTTATATGGAATCAATGAAACAGCTAATACAACTCATATAAGGTATTAAAAACAATCCTTGCCTGCTTAGGCACTGAAAAAAGAAGAGGTGCAGTGCATGCTATCAAGCTAATTTTTTGGAAGTAGTGGAAACCCTTGTCACTTCTCTGTTACATTCCCTTGGAAAAGTACCACGTCTGTGTTCACATGCGACGTGTTTTATGAAGAAATGCAACTGCGGCCTAGCTTTCGTTTTCCTCCTATAACTTTTTATGTTATGCAATATGAAAAAACCTCTCTGGAAGAAGTAGTAAACAAGCAAATTTTTCATCACTTAAGCTTTGAATCCCTCATTTATCTAACTGATGTAGCCTGGATATTTACTGATACAGCATGCCATGATAGATAAATGATCCTCATGTGCTACTAGGTATCCTCAGCAATCTATAATAGTAAGCTTTATAGTGACAGCAAGCTAGTAACATAGTGTGTGGCAGGATTATACATGGAAAGGTATCTGGGTTACAGAAATAAATTCTACTTCCCCAGAATCGCTTGATGCTATTTCAGTCTTTAAATTATTTAATTTAAATAGTTCCTGTCTTGAATTGTTGACACTCTCCACATTAATGTCTTCCTTGTTTTTTTAAGCCTTTCCCTGCAGACTTCTAATGAATATGTGTATATATCCCTCTCCCTCTGGCTGTGTAGTTAGACACTAAAAACTAGCAGTAAGCTGTAAGGAGAGCCTTAAAAATTAAGTAGTTCTGTTATTAGACTAATTTTGTATCACATTATATAGATGTGTCCTCTTTCTATGTCCTAGCTCTCTCCTCCTTTATAAAAAGAAAAGAAGGGATGTATACTCTCCTGGTTAAACTGCATGGACAGGAAGAGAAAATATAGCTGTGCTAATGAAGCCATGTCATTTTCCCTTGGGTTTTTCCTTTTCAGTTTCCCATAGTCCTCTATACCTTTTCTCCTTTTGCTGGTACTTGCTGACTCTCAGTAACCATGAATATAGGGAAAGCCATTTTGGAGGGGAACCTAAACAGCTCTTATTCTCTAAAAACAAATTGTTTGAATCATTTTGACATAACAGAATTAGGATTTCACACTTCCCTATTTCCTTTCTTATTATTATATTGTATGTATCAGCTCTTCTGTTTTTATGGCTTCCTTTAAAGTGTGGAGCAGAGGGATTGTTTTTGTTTCATGGAAGTCATTCTGATTTTGGATAGGCTGTTGGTCATTCCTAGTAGAAAGGCTTGGTGCAGTTGGACAGCACAGATTTTGGGTGGAAGCCTTTATGGAACAGGCTAGTGTGCCCAGAAGTAGGCCAAAGGACCAGCTTTGTAATAGGAAATACCAAGAGAAACTAATTGTACCTTGAGTTTGGAGAAAAGGGAGCAAAAGGCTGCCGTGTCTAGCTGCCTTCCTAGTGCTAAGACTCCAGAGCAAAAGTAAACTAGATGCAGGATCTTTTTAGCTACTCACTCTTCCTAGTCTTTCCGTGGTGGGTTGCATGCTCTGGAGAGGTGTAAGTACAGGGGAATGGA